CATTTACACAATGTAATATTACTCGACTATAAGAAAACAGAATCCTACAATTTGCTGCTACATGGATGGATCTGGAAGGTATTAGGAAGTTAGTCAGAAGAAGAAAGAGAGAAAAGATGATCTCTCTCTCATATGTGAGATATAAAGAAACAAATTAGGGGAATAATGAATGCCCAATGGCAACAGAATCTAAAAACTGGTCTTTGTAGGAAGCTTGGGCTGGGGTGGGGGCTGCAGAGTGGGGAATAAGACAGGACAGGGGGCACTGGGGCAGGTTGGAAGGAAGCAAACACATGATGGGGAGACATGATGACAAAATGATTTGTGCAAAAATCCCTGCCACTAACAGTACTGTAAACCACAGTACCGAAAATAATAATGTTAAAGGGGGCCGACAGTGGGGAAGAGCTGAGAAACATTCTCTAAACCCTCCCTCCAGCACACTGCAGGCCAGGAGCAGCGTACTCAGAGGCTACAGCAGCAACCAACAAAAGGCACTGCTATCAACTCCCCAAGCGCTGACAGCATGGAGCTGGAAACTCGGCCCTGGAGAAGTGGGTCTCAGATCCTGGGTTCCTAGAAAGACCTGGTGCTCAAAAATGATTTCCCTGGCAAACCAGCGCTTCTTCTGCAAAAAGAAGACCTAACATGTGATCCAAATATTTCTAGTCACTGCTGCAAAGGTTAGTGCCCCTGCAGCAGTGAAATTCTATGACCCTCTGGAAAAACTTGCTAAGTATGAAGCCCATTCATTCTATCAGTCAGTCCAGGACTAAAGCGAGTCGTTTCCAGGGAGAGCTCCTTCCAACGGTGCAGGGATGATGAAAAAATGCACAAATCTAAAGTGCACCTGTTTTGCAACATCCCCCAGACTATAACATTTTAGCTCAGGCACCCTTTGCTAACTTTTCCAGCATTTTTACAAAATGATTTTTTAAATCACTCTGTGTCTCAGTCAAGGTACAGCAGATTCTAGAATAATATTTTATTATAACAATGAGAAAAACGGTCACAGTCCTCCCGTTATTGATCGATTTGCTCAACTGGGCCCAGTAATGTCTCCATTTTGAGACTTGCTGTTACTGTGTTTGGCATAAAAAGATATCCAACCCTCAACAGAAACTTCCTCAAAGAAGAAATATAAATTGCCAAAAAGCGTATGAAGAAGTGCTCTGCATAACATCAGGAAGATGCAAAGCAAAACAACAGTGAGGTATAATCTTACACAACAGATTGGCACAAATGAAAAAGAACAAGACCAGCCAGTGCTGGCATGAATGCAGGGAGAAAGGGACTCTTATTTACTGCTGGTGGGAATGCTGTTCAGCCTTTTTGGAAAACAATATGGACATTCCTAAAAAATCTAGGAATTGAACTTCCATTTGACTCAGCAAGTCCCGATTCTTGGAATATACCCCAAGGGCCCAAAAACAAAGTGGAGGAACAACAATATTTGCATCCCTATGTTCCTTGCAGCGTTATGCACAATAGTCAAAATCTGGAAACAAGCCAAGTGTCCAAGAATAGACGACTGGATAAAGAAATTATGGTATATATACACAATAGAATAATACTTGGTCATAAGAAAAGATAAGGTAGTATAGTTTGCTGCTACATGGAAGCACCTGGAACGTATCATGCTGAGTGAACTTAGACAGAGGAAGAGAGACCAATACAGAATGACCTCTCTCATATGTGAAGTATAAGGAAACATAATGGGGAATCATGAACGCCCAACAGCAATAGAAACAAAGAACATGAGAACTGGTCGTCAGTAAGAAACGTACCATCTGAGGGGCAGGGAGAAAGAAGAGGGAGGGGAAATGACAATAGTGAAGGGAAGATCAACTAGGGAGAGAAGGTAATGCTGAAAGGTGCCCTTTGTAGAGGCACACTGGTGGGTGAGAGGCAAAGTTGTGGAGGGGGAAATTGGAATTGTGGAAGGAAGTGGGCACTGGTAAAGGGATTGGAGTTGAAACAATGTATATCTGAAACACTGTCATGAATAATTTCATAATTTGCAATTTCATAATGACTAATAAAAAAGAGAAAAAATAATTTTAAAAATTTTTTTAAAGAAACGGGTGTGGCAAAGGGCAGTGGCCACTCTCATTGTGATGTCCCCTCCCCGAGCCTCACAACCTCTTTGTGACTGTTCAATGCTGTGGTCCTGTATAAACCAGCTGTGCTCTTTGCTCAGTTGTCTCTGGCAAACCTGGGGTATGGCTCTATGCAGTTCAGAAATTGGAACTTTTTTACGTTTTTGAAGAGCTACTTGCTTGTCACTGAGCTTTAGTTCAACATCCACAGCTGTTGACCCTACCTTCCATTATGATTGGGGATGGAGGTTTCTCTGTTTCTCCCTATGCTGTTACCTGCTAGGGATTTCTACCTTAGCCACAGTTTGGAAAACCAAAGTCTACCAAAAGGTAAGGATCCAGGGAAGAGTTTCTTATAGCAGTTCTGCTTCGGGCTCACTCATTTATTAATGACTCTAGCTGACTCAGCAAAACTCCTGTCAGGATATCCAGGATAAGTGTCCGTGTGTGTGGTGTGTGTGTGTGTGTGTGTGTGTGTGTGTGTGTGTGTGGAGGGGGTGGGGAGGGCTACAAGTGATACTGTTTCTATTTGGTGCTCAGAGAAAATTTGGATGTGGCACACCATTCCAGAACAAATCCTCAACAGCGGTTTAGAGATATTCCTTGAATAGTGCACTTAGGGTATAGAATTCTGGAGAAAAATTCAAGTTCTGTAAGTAACATTTCATCAAGGGGTATATTCCCATTCAATGTCCCTCCATCAACCCTTCCTCTAGTTGTGGTTGACAAGGTCAGTGCTGGGTACAAGCTGTGCCCCAGAAGGGAGGGTCCCATATGAGGGACCACATGTAAAAGTGTACTTAGATTCTAGGCTCTCTCACTGTTGTCTGACAATATCAGCAAGCATGAACTCAGTCAAAATTCTATTCACTTAGTAGAATTTATAATTATTATTTTCACAGCCTGTAATTATTAGTTACAATAGAGTAATATTACATTAACTACTTTTTCACTTCATATTGTCTAAGTTTTCTGGAGACGAATTAGACAACTGGTTCCCACTTTCTCTTTTAAATAGTTCTTTTTGAAAGAAATTTAGAGAAATGTGAGGGGAGAGATAGAGAGAGGTGTTCAAGAGAAAACACAAGCTTCTCCAGAGGGGAAACAGCATGCCGGTCCCACTTTTGTTCTATTTTTTTCTCAGTGTCAAGGCAGAGACAATATGAGAAGAAAAGGAGGAACCTCGAAAGGTTTGTCTCTGTCATTTCTACTCGAAGATTCTTTAATCTTTTTATTTATTTATTTATTTTTATTAGTGAAACACCACGAGGTACAGTCATAGAGTTACAAATTTTTGTGCTTGGGTTTCAGTTGTACAATGATCAAGTTCCCATCCCTCCACCAGCGCCCATCCTCCACCACCACAGATTCCAGCATCCCTCCCACCCCCCATCCCCGCCCATCCCACCCTGCCTCCGTGGCAGGGCATTCCCTTTTGTTCTCTCTCTCTCTCCTTTTGGGTTCTGTGGTTTGCAAGACAGGCATTGAGTGGCAATCATGTTTGGTCTATAGTCTATTTTCAGCATTCTTCTCCCACCCTGGGAGGATCCTCCCAACACCCTTTATTTGGTGCTCCCTTCTCTATCTGAGCTCCCCTTTCCCCTAGAATGTATGGCTGGACTCCAAGTCATGGAGGAAAATTCCTGGTACTAATCTCAGCCACTCCTGGGTGTTAGTCTTCCATTATGTTACTTTATGTTCCCCAGATGAATGCAAACTTTCTGTGTCTATGCCTTTCTTTCTGAGTCATTTCGCTTAACATGATACTTTTCATGTAGTACCACTTGTATGTAAATTTCATGACTTCATCTTTTCTACTCAAAGACTCTTAAAGCGACACTTGCTTTCCTTTCCAAGAATACCCAGATCCATGAAAACTAAGGATGTTAAAGACATCACTTGCTCTCAGAAAATAGGACTCTTAACAGAAGCTGTATATGAAAGGCAGTCAGAACCCCAAGATACTTCTCAGATTCCGGCTCTGCCCATCCCAGGGCATGATGCAATGAAACGCCTGAGCAATCCATGCTCCCTACGCAGGTGGAAGAGATATTTGGAAAGAGGATTTCTGTTTTCTGTGGCTGGAGGAATAGTACAGCGGGTAGGGTGCTTTGTACGCAAGTGACCTGAACTCAATCCCCAGCACCCCATATATTCCCCTGAGACCAACAAGGAGTAAGTCCTGGGCTCAGAGCCAGGAGTAATCCCTGAGTGTTCTGGGTATGCCCATTCCCCCTCTACCCCCCCCAAAAAAAAAAGAATTCTGTTTCCTACATAATAGTACTTGAGTTTGGGGATATTGGATTTCACTGTGATTTCACTGTTGCCTCCTGTGCCTCAGGAGTTGGTTTCTTGGTCCCATAAGGTCATGTGTGAGAAAGTCTAAGGGAAACAGAGACAGCTGTGGACCTTTGACAATTTTGATTTTCCACTTGGATTCCTGTATTAATGCCTGTGCTACAGCATTCATTGCCTGTAACCCACTATCCTGATTTTCTAGGTTGGAGCAACTACGAAAATGAAATCAAGGATGTAACGAAGTTGATTTCTGTTTTCCAAAGGTGACTGTTTTTCAAAGGTCTCTGCCCTACCCCCTGACCCAGCTCTGTGGAGTCAGTGGTGCCTGCTGCAATCCTGGGAGGGGACAGCCATGGAAATAGGGGTGTTATTAGAGGTGTGCATTGGGGTGTGTTGTAAAATCATGGATGGAGACAGGAAAGGGGAGGAGTAGGCTGCAGGAGGTCCCACCCCTACCACACCTGCCTAGCATGCACTCCTGTCCTTGTTCTTGTTCTCTCTGTATGTGTGTTTCCTGTGTTCTGCAGTCCTGTGGACCAGCATCACAAGGCCATCTGTTTTCATCAACTGTTATGTCCAGACCCCACCCGTGAGGTGTGCAGTATGACAGCCACTGAGGTCACTGAACTGCTGGATCCAAGAGCTCTGGTCGATGGTGTAGCCTCTGTGGCACTAATGACTGGATCATCTATTAATCTGTGCACCAGCCAGTCTATAGTTCCCTCAAGGGAACTAACATGGGATTCTTCAGCTCTGCCTTGCCCACCCTCACCGCACTCCATTCGCACACAACACCCAAGGATCCCTTTAACTGATTGTATTTTACCGACACTACCCAGTGGCTCACTTCCATCTGGGCCTTTTCCTGCTCTGGATCCTGAATTCCACCTGGACCATTGCTCATCATTTCCTCTTTCCTTTTCACCGTTTCCATCATATGAAACTCAAACAGTGGATCCTGCTGTCCCTCATGTGGGACCTTTGAGTTACCAGCACCCTGGAAGTACCCTCATCTCGATTGGTATTGCTCCTTTGCAGGACATTAACCTGTTACCAAATTACCCTGACAATGCACTAACTTGTCACCAGTCTGCATCAGACATGTCTGTTTCAGCAAAAACAGACGTCTCATTTACTGTGACTAAATCTAAATCATTTTCCATCTTGTTGAGTAGCCAGGAGAACCCAGCCCCAGGCAGCCCTGGAGAGTTGTCTAAAGGTACCCCAACAATCACAGTCAGTGAACAATCTAGTCTGGAAATTACAAAATTACCTTGGTCTCAAACTCAATCCAAAAACACCTTTTCTTCTACCTTGCCAGCAAGTAAGTGTGATCAAGAGTGTATAGCCCCACCCTTACCAAACATGTCTTTTGGTGAGGACATTGTAATCTCTCTAGTGGAACCTGGTCACCACTCTTTTGTTAGTCCAAAATCCCTGCTATTCTTAGAGAGTCATATCCAAAGGAGAATCAGTTTCCTAACACTTAAAGGATATGAAAATAGGGGAAATACTTCTCTAAAACCACTTTGTGGTGACAACCAACTAGAGTCTTCAGGAAAAATATTAACTACCAATGAGCAGGATAATTCAACAGAGCCCCTTCCTTCTTGGCCAAACATTGACTTGGAATATCAGGGACATGACCCACCCCTAGTTTCTAAGATGCTGAACGACCATTGCCAGAAGAAATATACCCATCTCTTCTGGGGTCTCCCATCCCTGCACAGTGAATCCTTACCCTTGACCCTCAATGTGTTGAGGGATTCCTTCCAAGTCTTTATATTCAATTTAATCCAAGATAATACCACTTGCAAGAAATCCTCAGTACATCCTCATTACCCACCTGTTCCTTTGTGTGCACGCCAGCTTCCAGAGTTACCTCGTTTCCTGTCCCCATCAAAATCCCTATGTTCCCAGGCGGTAAAAACCCTAAACAATGTCATATCTCCACTTAAGGTCTTACCTTCTGGTTCTCAGCCCCAGAATAGAATCTGCGGCGTGAGATGCCATCTGCCTCACAATGACCCAGTGTCTCTTACCACTTGTGATATTCAACATTTGGAACATCACATATTACAAAAGAAACAGGAGTATGTATGGGGTCTACCTTCCATAGTGCAAAGATCTCAGCAGGAATTTTATCCTTCTGTTCCCAAAATTCCTGACCACAGGAACTCACTAGTCCATACTTCAGTCTCCATTCTTCAGGGAAATTTTCCTCTCAGCATGAATCTTACAAAGAAGTTAGAGCATCACCTTCATAAGAGGCTCATCCAACACCAGTGGGGACAGCCCTGTACAATCCATGGGTGGCTTTCACAAAGGATGCCTCCAGAGAAATTTTCAGAGAAACCTGAACTTCCTGAAAGGGGAAGCAATAATGAAGAAACTCTGAGTCCCTTAAGTATGGGTCACAATAGCACAAATCGAGATTTAGCCACAAGTCAACCAGAAAACATCCATCATCCCTCTATAGACACAAAGATGGGGAAGGAAAATATACAAAGCTCAGATAAAATGCCCAAATACCATCTGAGTGACCAGGAAAAATCTTCGGAGGTGGGTCTGAAGCTTCAGTCTGATCAATTCATAAAGGATGGTGTCTTGGGTATGTCAGAAAACAACACACAGGTTGTAGGAAAGAATCAGTCCACCCAAAGTCTTGAGTTGGTTTTGAAAACTCACTTGAGCAAGAAGTTTGAGGAAATCCATGAGGGTAGACTGCCAGGATCTGTGACAAATTCAAGGCGTACAAGCAAGGTGACATTGTCAACCTCTCAAAAATCTCTCACTCCGGTGAAACAAAGGAAGTCAACTTTAGCAGAGGGTGAGCAAGGATGCCTTAATACAGTACAGGATCTGCCCTTCTTTGATTCCAAAGCACGGAAGTTGATGGAAACCCATATTAATAGATTTCATAAGCAAATGATATGGGGACTTCCAACCAGGGTCTGTGAATCCATAGAATGCTGTAAGTTGTCAACTACCTCATCATGTTTCAATATGCCTTCCTTAACCAACTGGTATTCAAAGGGGCGTGCCAAATCTAGAAACTTCAATCCCTCCAAACAAAATGCTGAATTTCTTCAAGGAGACGGGACAGGAATTAAATGTTTAAATTCTTCTGTGGGTCATGCTGTCTCAGATCTTACCTCATCTTTGCAAAAGGATAGACAGAGCACGCCAAAACAATCACCCGTTGTCCTGAGAAATGCCCTTAATGAGGAAATTCAGACACTTAAGACAGGCAAAATTCATCTAATGTCTGTGAAAAACAATCCAATACAAAAAGAAAATCTGAGTGAGAGTCTACCAGTCAACCCAAATTTACCTGCAAGACAAGATCAGGCCAGACAGGAATCAAAAATACAGCACGTGAAATTCAGTCATGAAGCAGAAATGCCCTGTGATTTGTCAAAGCCCCAAACACCCAGGGAGACACACCAAGTTAAGAAGCAGCCTGCTCTTCTATCAAAAGCTCAGAAGCACATGACCATCAAAAGAGTGGACACTTCCCCAAAAGCCAGTGCAATGAAAGATGCAGAGAGTGATGTGGTTGCTGGCAGTGCTCCTATTAAACCACCATTTTCCCACCATTTTACAGTATCACCCCTGAAATGTCAGCTCATTGATGAACCTAAGATTACCCTGAAGAACAAAAAAGAATGTGAGGCCAAAGACCAGTCCCAGTCCATGTCCCAGTCTTCAGATGAGCTGACGTACAAGACTTCTGTCACTCAGCTGGTGGGTGTCCATGGAAACCTGGGCATTTCCCCAGCCCTGCACGTCCAACTGAAGGAGAACGAGGTCCGATTGGAAGGGCAGCAGGAGTCTTGGCTCCCTAAACATGTGCTTAGGCAATGTCCAGATGAGGCTCTTCCTAGAGCTCCTGGGAATGTCTGTAGCTGTCCAGCAAGCAAATCTGAAGAACTGGGTGCCGGGGATGCACATTTGGGCAAGGCAGATGGTGGCAGGAAGATTTGTCCTTCTAAGGTCAAAGCATTGCAGGAGACACAGGGTAGCAAGACTTGCCAAGTTCCATTACAGAGAAGACCGCCTCCTTCAGAGAATTACTATAGTAAAAGAGTGAAAGGCTGTTTTCAGTGGATTTCTCCTAGGACCAAAATTCAAAGCCAAGAAAGTTCCCAGGAAATGTATACGCCCATTTCATCTGTGTCAAATATGGGGCTAATCCAAATGAGAGCTGCACCTCTTGGGAAGAATGAAAATCCAAGAACTACAACAGATTCCCGGAAGTCCCCTAGGGAGAAAGTGGGGCACGTGCCCCCAGTAGATGGCACATGCCCTCAAAAGCCTTCTCCCACACCAGTGAAGTTCAAGGCGATGTATCAGGTGGCAGAAGTACAGGTCCAGAGAAGGGCTGTCCAGGAACATTGTTTGAAGGAGGAGATTCCTTCCCAGAGAGTAGCAACTACAAAGTCCTACCAGCCTGAAGCTGGTTATGTCCCCCAGAGATGTCCTAGACATAATAGATACATCCCAAGCAAGGCCTCGCTGCAGAAAGCCATGGCCTGCAAGGATCAGCATGTAGGTCTGAAGGACTGTCCTTCCATGGACCCCAGCCAGGCACGTGACAGTATTGCCCCCGCTGAGAAAGGCACTTTGTCCAGAGATGTGCCATCCAACTGAAGCACATTATGCTTCTGCAGGATGTCCAGGGGCATAAATTTCCTACCCAAAAGTTATTTTTCAATTCTCAATAAATGATTCTAATTACAATGATTTCTTCTTGTCATATGTTCTGTCATATTCTTTTGGGGTTTTTGCGGTTTCCATTACCAGAGCTTTTGTTAAGGGAAGGGAAGGGAAGGGAAGGGAAGGGAAGGGAAGGGAAGGGAAGGGAAGGGAAGGGAAGGGAAGGGAAGGGAAGGGAAGGGAAGGGAAGGGAAGGGAAGGGAAGGGAAGAAGAAATTCAGTTCTTAGAAACTTTTTGAATTTTTTCTTCTAAAAGATGACCACCTCCCTGAAACCCATTTGAAAGCATGTTCCCCACTTTGCCAAAATCTCTTTCCTCCCTGAAGAAATTTGAGGGATGGAGCTGTGTCTCATTTTCAGACCAGCCCACACCTTCCTGCTCCCTGAATATTTTATAGTCACTAGAGAATTTGGAAAAACTGGTCCTTCGTGTCTGAATAAAATCAAGGACAGGCATATTTCTCAGAAAAATTATACTGTGGAATAATAGTCTTTATGACATCATTGTCTGTGGTCGTAAATGCTGCCCTAGGCAGTGAGTTCTGAGCTGGTGAGATGGGTTTTTAGCAGTATAGCTCCTTGAAAATTTGCTATAGGTATGATGGTCCTTTGGTGGAAATCCCAATTTAAACTTGACACTGAAGCTGTTCCATTGGAGTCATTCCTATTCATACATTTTTCTTCCTACAGTTTTTCTGGACCACACACATTTGCAGAACTAAGCATTTAGTAGTTGGTTGTAAATATACTGACCATCTACATTTCAGGGTCAAATAACGCTGAAAGGAGGGAAGTAACACTGTAGCACTCTCCTCCTGTTGTTCATAGATTTGCTTGAGCAGGCACCTGTAATGTCTCACAACAAATTGTGAGATTTGTTGTTACTGTTTTTGGCATTTCGAATATGTCACGGGTAGCTTGCCAGGCTTTGCCATGCAGGTGAAATACTATCGATAGCTTGCCGAGCTCTCCTAGAAGGGTGGAGGAATCAAACCTGGGTGGTCCGCATGCAAGGCAAATGCCCAACTGACTGTGCTATCGCTCCAGCAAATGATACCTAATTGCTGAGTAGGAAAATGAAAAGAAAAAGTAAAGATACAGGACCTTGGTTGTAATTCAAATGTTTAGGCTCTTATCCAGGCCATATGAGCCCCCTGTACAGCTGATTTCCACCTTCCAACGCTGATACCATGTTGTATGTGCTCAGCACTAAGCAGCATCCTGATGCCGGTTTTGAAAAAGTGTCCATGATTCTCTTGAGTGCTGAAACTATTTTTGTAGGCATTTGGTTAGGCATTTGACATTTTGTCATGGGGCTAGTTTGAAGTCTTTACATCCACACTCGACAGTCTTTAAGCTCCTATCCTAAATATATAGGTATCACTGGTGAGTTGTTTTTTTTTTTATATTTAGGACCTCAGTGTAGCTGTATTTATTTCTATTACACCTACAATTCATGAACTAGAGAGTAGTTCTATATTACTCAGATTTCAGATATTTGAGGTTAATCATACAATACCCTTTTTGGGTCTAATGTCATAAATATTCATTTTTAAAATTTGCCTGCGATGAAGGCAAATAAAAACCTCAGGTATTTTCCTAAAAAGCGTCCTCTCCATAACCACCTTCTTCTTTTTATAGTTGTTGCAGTTTGAAATCAGGTCTGACACATGCAAAACTAGCACAGTAGTGTTGAGACTCATCCCAGTTCATATAGTCATGCCTAAGTGCTCACGTTTCTTTGATTTTGCCAATTACACAAAATTGCTGTTAAGTATAAATCTCAGGAAAGTGTTCAGCTCTTCACTTTGACAAACCCTGAGGATTTACCTTTGAGACTATCTCCCTCAACTTCATACAACAAATAATTTACATATACCAGTGAATAAGAATTTTGTTATTTTGTAACAGTGACTCTACTATCCAAACAATATAGAAGTAATGAGATGGGTAGAAGTAATAAAGTAATAGAAGTAATAAAGTCAATGGTGCAATAATATTGGAAGTCTGGTGACGGGTGTAGTGCAGAAATACTATATCTAAAAATTATCATTAATTTATAATATGTAATATAATTATAAAATAATTATAAATTATTGTTGTGGAACGGTTTACCCCCACGTGCCCGAACACATTACACACCATGTCCGGTGAGATGTGGGGCAAAGGATGACAGGAATGAGGAGAAACACCCTCCAAGAACAGCCAATGGCTGTTCACTTTATTGCCGAATACACACATATCTTATAGAGGGTCTCAGCTTACAAGAAAGGTCCAATCACATGAAGTTCAGCATTATTGTTCTATAACCATTTCCTCTCTACTTTGCCCCAGTCCAATCCCAAACAAGGCTAGATGCTGCGGTTAGGATGACCTGCTAAGCATACGTGATAGTTTCTGTGTCTAATATGCATATGACTAATAGGTCGAGTGAGGCTCAAGGCCGGACACCCAGTGCTGACACCATGTTCTTGCCAACTTTGCTCAGATCCTCCCTCTTGAGGCAAGGTTTCACTTCTGGACCGCTTTGCAAGGTTGGGCCTTATCTGCTCCAGTGCCCATTGCCATGCTCCACAAATCATGGTTGCTAAATTTGAAAAATGACAGTAAAAGACTATGTTGAAGATTTGACTTTGGTGTGGTACTCCGGACTTACTAGGATCAGTGCTTAGAGATCAATCCTGGCAGGCTTAGGAGATCTTAGGTATCAAATCCAGTCACTTACATACAAGGTGAGGACCCGATTCCTTGTACTATCTCTCCAGGCCCCAAACTCACGTTTTAAATGGCTGTTGTGTTTTGAACAAAGAATACTGGGTGAAAACTTGTTTTCCCGTCTCTATATGAAAATATCTATTTAGAATTAAATAGTAGATGAAAGGAAGTTTCACATCATTAGTTATCAGGAAATGCAAGTCGAAGTTACTATTTGATATCACTTCATATTGCAAAGGGTGGCAAAATCAAATATTCAGATAATAGCAAGTGTTGGGCACACGAACAAGAAATACATGAAGTACTACTTGCATAAGTAAAAAATTATACAACTATTTTAGAAACACCATTTTCTCAAAATGTTGAACAGAATTACCATAAAACTTATAACTCATTTCTATGAATGCTCTCAAGAGAAAAATATGCATCCACACAAGACCCATACATGTTCAAACATAATTTTTCAAAATAGACAAAGGATGAAAACAAAGTAAATGTCAATAAATAATGAATGGGTAAAGAACATGTAATTTAGCCTTTCAATCAATAGTATGTTCAATCATGCTTCAGCCATAAAACTATCTTTTACATTATACAGCATGGAGAGACCTGGAAGATATTACAACAAGTGACAGAAGACAATCAAGAATGATCACATGATTCCATCATTCATTTGAAATGTTCAGGAAAGGGAACTCTAGGGAAAGAAGTAAATTACTTCTTTCTTAGTATGGATGGGTTAAAAAAAAAAAGAAAACAATACTGGTTTCATATTTTAGTTGATGATACTATTTTTAATTGATCGTGAGAACTGTTTCACGTGTCTGAAGCTAAATTTTATAAATTGGAATTTGGAGCCAGAGAGGCGGTACAGTAGGAAAGGTGCTTGTCTTACATGGGGCCAACTCTGGTTTAATTCCTGGCAACAGTTGTTCCCAGAAGCCTACCAGAAGTGATTCCTTGAACTTAGAACCAAGAGAAAACCCTGAGGATAGCCTGATATGGCCCAAAAACAAACAAAATGATACAAATAAAAATTGGGAGTTTAATGAGTCAAGTGCATAGTATTGGATTATAGTTCAATGAATCTATTAAAATAAAGAATTAAAATGTGTTGGCGAATAACAGCAAATATGACAATTTGTCACAATTTTGGAATACAAAATTAGTGGAGGAATGAAGGAGACTACGCAGATTAAGTTCTAATGAATCATTCTAATTACAAAACTCCAGAAGACAATTTGAAGGCATTAGATTTGTTTTTTAAAAAATTGGGGGCATGTGTAAAAATATATAAAATTTCTTTTTAAAATAATTGATATATCTAAAAACTTTTTTTCAGTGAACTGTGAGGATACTCTTTTCAGGTAGTTTGAAATATCCTGATGAAATGCTACCATGGTACAGATGTGAATAAGTGTTCCAAGCTGGCTTTCCTACCTCTTGGGTTTAGCCAGTGTGGTGTGGTAATATTTGTAACAATCATAAATCTCAAGAGATTAGATTAAATATAGGACAATAATATGTGGTTCATTTCAAATCTAGAGAAATAAATCTGTACTTCTGGTTTACCGGAAGAGAACTCCAAGTACTGAGCAATGAATGAGTAGCCCTGAGTAAGGTCAGGTATGGTCCAAAAACTATCACTATCACAGTCCTCCCATTGTTCATCAATTTGCTCGAGCGGGCCCAGTAACGTCTCCATCGTGAGACTTGTTGTTACTGTGTTTGGCATATTGAATACATCACAGGTAGCTTGCCAGGCTCTCCCCTGCAGGCGAGAAACTCTCGGTAGCTTGCCGGGCTCTCCGAGAGGGGCAGAGGAATCGAACTTGGGTTTGTCATGTTGGCTGCTTGGAAGGCAAATGCCCTACCACAAAAACAACTGCAAAAAAATTGTTTATTTGAATGTAATTATGGGAAAATGATAATTGACTACATACCATTTATTCTATTCACAAGTCAATGTTTGACCCTATCAAATATTGTGTGTGAAATTTCCTATCATTTTACCCAGTCTTTTCTTCGTTGCTCTCAATACACAGACACACAAAACACACAGATAAAAAATATATAGATGCATGAAAGCCTGGTGGTTTTCTTGAGGTGAAAGTAGGAATATCTACAACCTGCCTAGACTTAGATCCCACGAGTTTTCTTCCTCCATATCAGTAGGCCCCACCCTGAAATTCATCAGTGGCCTTTTGTATATTCCTGGG